ACTTTCCACGTGCTGGGATTACAGGTGGGCCGTCAGCTCTGGCCTGTATTTACATGTGTCCTCCAGACCTGACCTCCACTTCGGAGGCCTGCCCAGCAAGTGCTTCTCCCTACTGAGCCCTCTTCCAACCCTCCCCTCCTCTGGTTATATCTTTATCTGCAAAGGCATAAAGTTTAGGACCGAGACTCCAGGAACCTTGTATTCGCATATTTAGATCTGATTTCAGGACATTAGAATTATTAACGTTTTCTTCCTCTGTTTTCAGGGTGGTGGGTCCAAATATTGGCTTTTATAGCTGCCTAACATACATATTTTAAATTTGAAGAGTTTTGGATAGGAAAAGAAAAATAGATAAGGTTAGTAGACACAACTGTTTTAAATTAAATTATCTTCTCCATAGAGTGCATTGAAGGAAGTCTTTGACTCTGGCCACAGTGACTCCAACCAAAGCCTCAGTCCAGTCCTCTTGACCTAAAGACTCAAGGATGGTGGGGGGACGTGAGGCAAGAGAAGGGGTGTCAGGTATTGCAGGTGACAGCCGTCACAAAGCTGCCTTTCTGACATTCCAGAGTCAGGAGGGGAGAAGTCATATAGAATGCTCCAAAACCTGATTCAAATTGCACTCTTATTGTCCCTCCGATAATGTGCATATGCAACATGTATGATGTACTCAAGAGGAAAAGACGTTTGTTTGGGTTTTAAAGAAAATGTTGGATGATGACTTAATCTTAACAACTTAGTACTTCAGTGCCTTCTGCAACCCATTGTATTTAGTAATGAATATTGGAGAAATGCAGAAACTCCTTCTTTTTTTCCCCACTGATTCTTCAAAGAAAAAAGCATCTCAATGATAATCAGGTAACAAGGTACACTGTTCATTGCTCATGTCAATTAGTGATGGAATATAATGTCATAAAGGAAGCCATAGTACCTTGTGATTTAGTTTTCTCTATAGTTTCATAAGCTGTATAGTACTAGTGAAAACTAACTTTGAATAAATGACTTTTGTCTCTTGAAAACATGCTTGATATATTGCTTCCCATCATTCTAATATTTGAAGAAATTCCATCATGCATTATAGATTATGTGAATTCAACAATAAATCTATTCAATATCTAGAAGAATCTATCATCTATCTATCTATCTATCTATCTATCTATCTATCTATCTATCTATCTATCTATCTATCTATCTATCACCTATCAAAGAATATACATAAGGTGATTAAAACATGCTAGCATAGTTTCTACTTCAACTAAGTACTTTCAATGTATATCTCAGGCTTAATGACCTAAAATTTTGAAAAGAGGAATTTGGGAGAACCATGGGAAAAACAGTAATTTCCTTAGTCCATAAACTTGGTTTCTCTTTGGAGCCATTGGAGAAAACAAGACCCAGAGCTACTGATTTAACTCATCTGTAACATAGTCCTAGCTAGATGACGGTCTGCAGTGCAACCTAAAAAATATTTAGAATTTAAAATACAGCTTATATTGCTTCAGTATCAGTTTACACCCCCTTCCAGCTCCCAGGTCTCTTCCTGAATTTACAGGTTTTTAAAGCAATTTTATGATGTTAATTTATTCCCAATAAATTAACTTGGCATTCCTCCTAGAAAAGGACAAGATAGGGAGTCATCAATTTTTGGTCATATTAAATGCTTGTGAATACAAGTAGTGGGAAGAAATGATCCCATCGTGGTGTAATTGTTTCCTCCGAGCTTGACATAACCATGACCATCATGGGGTCTTCCATCATGGCAGAAATCAACAGAACTACACAGTAGATAAGCTAGGTCTATAATAATGGTGTTGTCAACACTCTTTGTCAGAGGGAGCTGGTCAAATGACCCTTCCACTGACCCTTCTTGAAAATAAAATCACAATCCCTACTGCCCCGACTATAGGTGGTCTAACACAAAAGTACATAAGAAATTCCAAAATAAGAAATAGTTTGGGAATGCAGCTGCCTGTAAGTCACCCATGCTCCTGCAAGTAACCCAAATAAATCTATTAATTCACCAAGCTGGTCCTGATAGAATCATTGGCCTATGGGATATATAGACATGTCTTTTATACCTCCCCAGGAAAGTCATGTGGCAACCCTACCCTTCCCCATCCCAGCCTGCCAGCGTAGGGAGTGCCACCAACACGATTTGATTCAGGACCTACAGAGCTGATTAGCCAACCCTAGAAACAAAAGAGGCAACAGCTGCTTCCAGGTCAGTCCAGTCTCTAAATCTGTTTTCCTCAAATTACTGTTCAGCTTGCTTCTTAATTGGTTTATGCATCTGTTCAATCATGCCCTTGGGTCAGCTGCTGTTAATCCTGGCTCCAGATCAGAATCACTTGGAAGCTTTCTGGATGCTAATGCAAGAACACCAGCATTTCTGGGCATAGGCTCCAGTCACCTATAATGTCAAAGCTCTCCAGAAGCAGAGGGCATGGTGATACACCACTTAGGTTGCAAAATTCTTTTACACATTTACCTAAGGCATGCCTAAATCTGCATCTTCTTTTGCCATCCTTTGTAGCACCAGGGACCAAACCCTACACCTTTTGCATGCTAGGCAAGAGGTCGGCCACAGAGCTCCACTCCTATAGTCTGGATTTTTTAGGTGGTGTTATATAGCCAAAGAAATGTCATATATAGCTTTGTAATATGCTGGCCCAGACTCACTTGTGTGATGACAAACAGACAGATAGCATAGAAACCCAAAGAACATGGTTTAACAGAACTCCTTGGAAATACCTTACAGAGCCTTCACTGTGGGCGAGTATTGCTCCATTGTCTGGAGACTGATTTATTCACTCATCCATGCCTTATGATGCACACAGTATGGGGACCAACATTCAGTTGTGGGACCCTGTCTCCAGAGTTAGCAAGTTCAAGTCCAGGTGGCCAGCAGGAATGGTCAATAGACCTGCCAACTGTGGTGAGGAGGGTGATAACCTTATACTTTCACTTCACAGGAAACCATGGTTGAGTTTTCTAGGATCACACAGTGCATAGAAGAATTTAAACCCAAAGAGTCTGACCCCATAGTTTATACTCTGTCAGTAGGAATCTACCTCTACCCCCCCCCACTCCTCACAATACAACTTTTCAGAAACTGTCAATTAGAATTGGGCATAGCAAGTTTCACATACGCTTCTTAAATTATTCTTAATGCTTTATTCTGAATTCAAAAAGGATTTGTTTGTTTTTCAATATATAATTTCCTTGGAAAAGTCTCTAATAAAAATATGCTGTAGCTGCTTACTTACTATTTGTCTCTGGCTTTAATTTTTATTTGACTTGTTAGGGACCACAAATCCATCAAGATCACATGTGGGAAGAAGAAAAATTCCCTATTCCTGAAAATGCTTTTAATTTCCTTTTGTTGGTTTGGTATGCACTTATGTAATATTCAAATTTAAATCTCCTCAAGCCATTGGACATTGTTCAGTCTCAACCTTTCAAAACAAATTCATCAGAACGTCACAGTAATAACTGTGTAAACAGGACAAACATATCTTAGCCCTTTGATAAGCAGCCTGGAGGTTTGAAATAGCTTCACATTATGAATTTCAATCAATATAACAATCATTGAGCACAGTCTTCACAAAACCAGCTCTAAATTGAAAAAGAGTGCGTTGAAAAGTTCCTTGTTCTCCGCATTTCAGTGGGCAAACACTTACCCCAGACTTTTGTTAAAGTGTGACACTGAAGGAAGACAAGACTATACTTCTGACAAAGTTCATCAGTAATGTCCACACTGGGGTCTGAGGACCACACTCTTAGTATCTTAGAAATCAGTGCTAGCAGAATGCCCCTCCCCCCCCAACACCAAGGGAGGAAAATAAAACTATGATTTGTAGTGTTTGCTAATTTCCATGATACGATACTCCCACAACCATGTTCAACCACCAACATGATGCTCTTAAAAACTGAGCTGAGGAGATGGTTGGCACACTGAACGCAACTGGCTCTATGGAGTAGGTGCAAAGCAGAGCCAGTCCCACACTTGGATCTCTGTGACTACACACACCCACATGCTTTCAAGACTCCATGGGGTGGGTTAGGCTGCTTAATTCTGCAAAAATATCAGAATAGTTAAGGAGGCAAAGAATGCTATAAGAAAAATAATGAAATACTAGTTGGAAAATATATACGAATGTGGACTGGAGGAAGCCCAGGAGTTTTCTAGGCTTCCTCCATATCCAAAGAAATACAGGCAACTAAGGAATGCTGAGAGTTGGGGGAAATAGTTTAATACTAATATCCAACACCAAATGGCCAGTCCTGAAAACATACATACAAATAACATTATTCATACGGAGTAGGTTGTACTTATGCATTTAGGAATGTGAGTGTGTGTGTAAAACAACAATTATTAAACAAAGGGTCCATGAATTTGAAAGAGAAAAGAGTAGGAGAGTTTGGAGAGAAGAAAGGGGAAGGAGGACATGATGTAGATGTGTTATAACCTCAGAAAAACAAAAGAAGTAACTCAAACAAAAATGGATGCAAAAAGCTTGGTGTGGTGGCTCACACCTTCAATCCCAGCACTCAGGAGATCTCTGAGTCTGAGGCCAGCCTGGGCTACACAGAAAAGTCCATGCTAGCCAGGGCTGCAGAGTGAGACTCCATGTCAGAAAAATTTAAAAAGTGCAAACTGATGAGGTTTCCAAGCAATAAACCAAGGGGAAGACAGATTGGGGAGATAAAGGACATGTGAGGCAGACAACAAGAGAGACACTGGGAAGAAGTGAGCGAGCGATGGGTTGACCATGGCATGTTGGGATGAGTGGGAAGGAGATCAGCCCCAGGGAGGTGGGTAGGATAAGAACTGGCAAAACTTCCCTGCTGAGCTAGAGAAGGGAACCTTGAAACTTCTGAATGGTTGGGAGTTGAGTTGTTGGTTCAGAGCCAAATGCCATCATCCCGTTTTCACAAATACTTTATTCTCCAGCATGGTTGGGAAATTAAATATGCAAATTCAACATGTCTTAGCGTTAACAGAGTTGATTTACGTATGAGAAAGAGGTACCAGTATTTTTGTACTGGAGCATACAGATGCTAATTTCTTCTCTGATGAACCGGGACTCTGGGAATCATCACTCTCATCTCTGAGCATCTTTGGCCTCCCTGCTGGTCGAGTACAGTGACAGAGCCTGGGGATTTAATTTCATAGTATGCTGTAAAAAAAAAAAAAAAAAAAAAAAAAAAGTGTGTTCTCGAACTTTTCTCCAGGGTTGCTGTAGAAGCACATCCTAGGAAACCAAACAGAGGTGAAGCATTATCTCACAGGCAGTTGAGTCCTTAAGAGATCAAACTCCTTTCATTTGTAAAACAGGACTCACGGTATCCAACTCATGTGGCCTGGTGGTGACTGCGTGACCATGGTTAATAAATGACGATGATCACTGATAACTTTCGACATTATGGGCTTCTAGAGAGAGCCTGAGCCAACTATGTACACTGTTTGAATGCTGAGGAAGCACCCCCCCACCCTGTTTGTGGGTTCCTTCTCCACACTTCCTTTAGCACAGATTCCATGGGGCTCCTCACACTTCTGAGAGTTAACAGAGGTTTATTTTGAAAAGAAAAAAAAAAAATCTTTCTCCCGACTCTTGGAATCATGTTCTTAATTTTTACTATGTTAAGAACCAGGAGAGGGAACTTAAGGTCAGTCGCCTCTCAGGTTGAGTAACTCCAAGCTATAAGTTCCAAGATCTTGTCTTTGTCTTTGATTCCAAACGGGCTTGTGGGAGAAAGTGATATAACCATGAGCTCACTGTGTTCTTTCAGATGATTTCCTGTTTCCTGTGTATTTAAATACACAGGGAATAATCCCACTATTAAAATGAGACCCTGAGTGTGTGTATGGGCAAAAGTTCAATGAAAAAGGAAGAAAAATATGCTTGCTGAATACCAGATGTAGAATGCATAAATCCAGTTAGAGCAGGCCGGGAATAGCTTTATGGCTGACATGCAAGAAATCTCAGGGAACTGGGAAGTCAGATAGGCATGTGTCAAACAGACTTATTTAAAATCGTCCACTTCCTCAGCAAAATAAAAGTTTGAGGCAGTTTTGTTTCCTCTTGTGGTTTGAAATTACAGTTGTGGGCTATAGAAGTCCTGCTTGATTGAGGGCTTCCAAGCAGAGGAGTTACATGACCCAGTTCAGCACCGCACAACGCCGGGATGGCCCAGTGTTTCTTACCAGGCCTCCTACGTTGTCCTGTTTGTACTTTCTGTCCTTTGTCATCTTGGCAACAAATTGCAGTGCAGCTGACCACTGTTTCACAGTCATCTGACTTGTTGCTCCGGAAAGCTCTTGCATCTGAACAAGAAAGGCACCTACTGGTGTCCCAGTTAGATAGACTGTAGATCCAGAGTACAGACCCTTGTCCTCCAGGCTGGGAGGCCAGGTAACCCCCTTCTGCCAGCCTTGTCCTGTCCACAGTGGATGTAGGGTTCATGGCCTTAGGCATTCAACTTATGTTAAAACCAAAAGGCATAACCTGAAAACTGAGGGGACGGCTTAGTGAGTAGGATGCATGCTTGCCTTCCACCCCCAGAACCCATGGAGAGAAAGCCAAATGTGATGGCGTGCGCTTGTAATCCTGGCACTGGAGGGATGGGGAGCGCTAGATGCCTGGGGCTCACTGACCAGCCAGTCTAGCCTACTAGGGTTCCAAGCCAGTAAGAGATCCTGGCTGAAAACAAAAACAAGAGTGAAGCAGAGAGGAAAGAGCTGGATGGTGGAAAGGAGGGATGCCTGAGCTTGTTCTTTGAACATGCACATGCACACATGGTCCTACACACACTGATAACGTGCACACCAGCTACTAAGAATCACACTGATATGTACCTTTTCAGGTACGGCGTCTTAACAGCCCACTCCTTCAGGGAGTACATGGCAGACTATTGGCATGAACAAGCTCAAAGCAAAGGTATTTAAGTGCTAAAATGTCCTTTAAGGTATCAAAGCTCCCCAAGTTGTTCCTCTCAGGACACTTCTGTCCAATAATGTCCTGTGAAATATACTGTTTTGTTATGGTTTTATTCAACAAAATAAAAGCAGATGGAATGGTATGAAAAACCATGTACTTTGTAGCCATGTGAGCCAGATCATAGTTACTCTAACTCCATTGCTTACTATTACATGAATTCCAACATGATACTATACTCAATTTTCTCGTTCTCTACTAAGAATGTGTGTGTGTACATGTGTGTGTACATGTATATATTTATAAACAATCTAACATGATGTCTAACACTGTGAGAAAGCTTAACAAGTTTCCCCTCCTTAAGTTCTCTCCCTCTCTCTGTTCTTCCCTCATTTCACTAAACACTCCTTGAATACATTCTATGTAGCAGCCACACTGTCAACAGAGAGACAACTAAGAGTGAGTTTTGGACTTAAGAAATATCTACACTCTCTAAATGTCTCTAAAGGTATGAACAAGGCACATTGGTGGTGTTAATGAGGAAATATCCCAACTTGTTCTGATGAGAATGTATGGAAATAGGAAAGCTTTAGTCAAGGAAATGAAAAAGACATTTCAAAAATGGAAATATGTCCCATGTTTATGAGTTGGTAGAATTAATATTGATAAAATATCCACACTACCTAAAATGATCAATAGATTTAATGTAATTCACATAAAAATACTAACAACACTCTCTATAGAGCTAAAGGAAAAGTAACAAAATTCATATAGACCTATGAAAGACCTTGAATAGCCAATGTAGTCTTGAATATAAACAACAAAATTGAGACTGTCACAATACAAATAATATCAAAACATACTACAAACCTATAATAATCAAAACATCATGGTATTGTCACAAAACAGACCCATTGACCAATTTCAGAACAGAATAAATATCCAGAAATTAATCTATGTATGCATAGCCAACTGATTTTTGAGAAAAGTAATGGGAATATTGAAGAAAGTACAAGGTCTCCCCAAAACAGCACCATGAAACATGGATATATATGGGTATCTATCTATCTATCTATCTATCTATCTATCTATCTATCTATCTATCTATCTATCTATCTATCTATCTTCATCATCATCATATCTCTATCATCTATCTATCTGTCTGTCTGTCTATCTATCTATCTATACATGCATACAGAAGAATGAAATGAACTCCCTACCCCTTATGTGATACAAAACCCACCTCAAAAGAAATCAAGGTCTATAAGACCTAAAACAGGAAAACTACTGAAGAAAAGATAAAGGAATATCTTCAAGACATTGGGAGAGACAAAGATTTTTATAAGACCCCAAATTCCAGACAATAAAAGCAAAAGTAAACAAATGGGGTTCTATAGAACCAAGATGCTCCTGCACCATAAAGGAAACAATCCACTGTGAAGTGATAACAGACAGAATAGAAAAAACTGACATACCGCTTAGCGGATAAGGGTCAGTGTCCAGAATATAGATGAATTCTAACAATAGCAAAAAGCCAATCTGATTTTAAATAATGGGCAAGTAACTTCAATAGACATTTCTTACATGAGGATGCAAGTTGTGAATGAATAAAGAGCAAAGTATCAACATCACTGATCACCAGGGAAATGTAGATAAAACCACACTGAAGTTTCATTTCTCCCTACTTAAAATGGCTACTTTCAGAAGGACAAGAGAAGTATTGGTTAAGGATGAAGAAAGCAGGCAAATCAAATCATTTTGTCAAAGAGATACCCGAACATTTATGATTATGGCAGCACTAGTCACAGCAGCCAATATACAGTATCAACCATGATATTATCCATTGGTGGGTGGGTGGATTTTTAATTTCTTTTCTTTATTTTTATTTATTTATTTATTTATTTATTTATTTATTTATTTATTTGTGATAGGGTTTCTCTGTATAGCCCTGTCTCTCCTCAAATTTGCCCTATTTACCAGTCTGGCCTTGAACTCAGAGATCTGGCCGCCTCTGCCTCCTGAGTCCTGGGCATGTACTACCCTGCCAGGCTGGTTAGATTTTTTTTTTTAAAGATAAATTGTAAATTTTACAATACACATTCTGGAAACCACAGCAGAGTCAGTGGCAGTCCACACTTCATCTTGTATGACTTCTTTTTTTCCTTGTCCCATTCTCCCTCAGCCCACTCACTACTCTCTCACCCCAAAACTCTATCTCCTGATAGAACTTCACACTTTAAAACGTGTAACTATTTTTGGGTGTATTGTTGTAGTTCACTATGTGTATACAATGTGTAATGACCAAGCCAGGGCAGCCGGCATTTCCATCGACACAGATGTTTTCTCTGTGTGGTGTTGGAAACCAAATGCCTTTCTCCTCTAGTGATTTTGGAATGTGTAGTTATTTGCTGTGGGCTATGTTCATCCTCCTCTGCTGTGGGACATTAGAATTACTTCCACCCAGCCTGTATCTTGGTTGACACCATGGACTCAGCCTTCCCGCTGACTCTTCTAGTGATGTCTATTTTACTTCTGTGTTGCCAGTTTCACCCTTAGTGAGTGGGCGGTGTTTGTCTTCACGTGCCTAGCTTATTTCACTTAACATGATGCTGTCCAGTTCCTCTTATGTTAATGTGGAGATGGAAGTTTACCTTTTATGATTAATAATTATTCCATTGTGTATGTTCACAAAGGTGGCCCTGATTAAACTCAGTGGGTCACAGAACAAAGAGACATGAATGTGGGGCAGGTAACTCTTGAGGAGGTATGGGTATTGATGGGGGTAAGAGGGAAATAAAAGAAAGTGGGAGGGTGAGATAAGTCATCACGTACTATACACATATATGAAACTGTCAAATAAATTCAATCAAAGGTATTTTTAAAAGAAATTATGAAAAACAGTTCCTATTATACAAAAAGTATTTTTTATTTTTTAAAAAAAGTATTACATCATTTATCTTCCTTCTTCCCTTTCCTACCTCCAACCACTCCCTCTTGTTCCATCTTTAATTCATGGCTTCTTTTCTTTAACTGTTATTGATTTACACACACACACACACACACACACACACACACACACACACACACACAATAGTCATATGCCAACACACTCTGCTTTGTTTCCTGTTATGGATTCCTACCTATTTCAATCTATTTCAGTATCCTTCCATTGGTGTTTATGGAATTCAGTTCCCTCCTCATCCTCTCTCCTCCTTATGCTTACTATATTCAGGGCATTGTCTTTTACCCTCAACACATGTGGTTTCATTCAATTCCAATTTCAGTGAAGGGTAAATCTCATTCTCAGCTGGGGGTGGGGTGAATTCTTATTGTTTTCGCACGTGGGACATGGAGGCAAGAGAATTTTGAGGTCAGCCTTGACTATGCAGTGAATTCAAGGCCAACCTGTATCGAATAGGACCCTGCCTCAAACAAATAAACAACAAATCTCCAAAATATAGCAGATCAAAGGGGTATAAAAGTAGCCACGTTTATATGGGAAATGTTAAGTACCAGCATTTGCATGGTTAATGTTTAATACAAAGATTAAAACTTATGTCCATATAACTCAAAAATAGAGAGCTGGATACTTACATATATATATATATTTTTATGCTCTGGGACCTAGATAAGGAGCAGTTGTTTTTCAGGAAGTCCCCCTCATTGTTTAGAATGTTTTAGGCTATTATCAACAGAAAAGATTAAAGTGGTTCTCATGGAACCCTCATTAGTCTTGAGAAAGAATACTTACTTATAGAAGAGCAAGTCTGTACACCTCCCTGCTGTCTACTCTCCTCTGTCCTCCTGTGACATCTCCCTGTGTTATAGACACCCGACATGATGCCATTTGCTATGATGTGATGGCAACACCCAACAGGACTGCCACTAGAGCTCTAACCAATGAGGCTTCCCAATCTTGGACTTCGGGTTTCAAAAATATCTGCTAAATAAACCTATTTCTTTATAATGTGCTAACACTGGGTATTGTATTGTGTTGTGGAAAACAGACCAATATAGCATCATAAAGAAAAGACTTGAATGATGTATTTGGAGCTTAATAACAGACCTGAAGACAATGATTTTTGACCTAGGAAAAGTTACTAAAGTCTAATTTCTTATGGCAGACTGTGACAAAATTCACTGCCTTGATACCAGCAACCAGGAGTGAGCACCTAACATTGTGCATTTATTTTTTTTTTGTAATTTTAAATTTTTCTTACAAGAAGAAAATAAACTTTTAGAAATATTTACAAAATAGAATTGTCATATCTTGTCTATTGATGATTTAATTTGTTTTTACTGAATAAAAGTCTTAATTTGACATTTAAAATTTTGCAAACACTATCACTTAGTTATTTGAATTAACCCACAATGATTATCCTTCGCTGTCTGCTGGGGCAGGTCCATTGGTGTTATCCTTGTTCATCTTACATCTGGGTAGCCATTTTGGTGAGACTTTATGGATGTTGCTTCTGACATTACTAGGAGACAAAAGTTGATAGCAAACTCCAGATCCTCTGCCTCTTATAATCTTTCCTCCCTCTCTGATGCAACATTCCCTGAACCTTAGGTGGAGGAGTGTTTTATAGATGTATCCAATGGGGCTGGGCTCCACAACTTTGCATTTTGCTTGATTGTAGTTTTCTGTTGTGATCTCCATCTGTTGTGAAGAGAGGATTCCTTGATGAAGAGTGAAGATGACAGTTATCTATGGCATAAGGACAAATGTTTGTAGATTGTTGTTAGAGAGTATGCCGATCACATTGTATGGGATAAACAGGTTACATTTAGGTTATGTGTATCTACCTATTGTCTTAGGATTTCTATTGCCATGAAGAGACAACATGACCACAGCAATTCTTATAAAGGAAAATATTTAATTGTGGTGACTCACTTACAGCCAGAGGTCCCATCTATTGTCATTATGGTGGGACATAGTGATGGAGAGGCAGCTGAGTGCCCTACATCTTGGCCTTCAGACAACAGGAAGTGATCTGTCTCACTGGATGTAGCTTGAGCATAGGAGGCCTCAAAGCCCAGCCCCACAGGGACACACACTTCCTCCAACAAGGCCCCGTTCCCATTAGTGCTACGCCCTTTAGGGCCCATTTTCTTTCATACTGCCACACGCATATTTATTTATATTTAGGTTGCATGTATATGTATAACAGGTTATATGTATATACATAAAAATGTATGCATTCAATAACTAGTGAAAAAAGAGGCCATGAATTTGAAGGAAACTGAGGAGAGGCTGAGGGAGGTTTTAGAGAGAGGAAAAGGAAGGGAGAAATGTACTTATAGGATAATTTCAAAATTAAAAAAAAAAACCTAAACAGAAATATTAGGCATCCACAAATGCAAAAAACGTGGCTTTAATCTGAGCTCTTACACTTCCTGTGTGTATGAACTTACCCAGCACGACCCTCCTCCTAAGCCATGGTGTCCTCTGTCACACATGTGTAGCAAACAAACCCCTGTAGGATTGCCAGGAGATGAATGGAAGACAGCTACAAAGTTCTTCCAAGGGAAGTGTTCAGTAAGCACTAACTAGCCTTTGAAGTCTCATTAAATACTGCTTTCTGAACAGGGCTGTTTGATTTCCAACAGTTAATTGCTGCCTTCTGTTGACACAGAAGAACTTTAATGGGCATTTAAAACCCCATGTCATTTGTACCAGGGCAATCAGTGTGGAGAGCTGGAGAGTAGTGTAAATATTGATGGAGCCCTGTGCTTTAGATCTTATTGATATGAATAAGCTTGTCAGATAATTTTTAAAAGTTGCTCTTTGGCAAGTAGCTGTTAATACCAACATTATATGAAGCACTGTAATTATTCCTCCAAGGGCCACAAAATTAACAAATCACAAACCTGTTGCTTGAATTCCTAAAGCCATAGAATAACTCGAATGTACATAGGGAGAAAGATGCTCTCACCCCCCCCCCTTCCTCTCTATAGCTGTTGTTTCTCTCCAGTTCCTGGGGTTCCACATACTGCCCTTTGGAATTCAGTCACTGCTAACAAACCGTTTCCTGTGCCCCGGTTCTTACCTGGCACTGCTTCCTCTACAGGCTGACCCGTAGCTGAGTTCACTTGTAGACCCATTTACTGAGGCTCACACTAAGGTAGGCGTCATCCTTGTTTCTTTACAATGACACATTGTTCAGTATGTTATCCACCGGCCACATGAGACTATTTAAACTTGAACTTAGATTCATTAAAGTGAAATGATACTAAGAATTCAGATACTAAAAACTCACATTTATGCACATAATCACCTACATCTAGTGGAAAACCTTTTATGTCAACACACCATTGCTCATCAATGCTCAGTCCCATGAGATGGTTCTTTC